CTAAGGACAGCGAGTGATTCATGTTTGGAAAATTTGGTTGCTGTTTTTGCTGCTGTTGTTGTTGCTGCTGTTGCAGTTTTTGCTTCTGCTCCTTTATGCCTTTGCACATGGTGTTGAACTGGGAGAAGATTGAGAAACTGTTAATTTAGCTTTGAAGTTTGAACTCATTAACTACCTGAGCTAGAAGGACGTTGAACTGCCTGACGCCACCCTCAATTCTGGGCACATTCTGCGCGGCCACCGCGTCTCGGCGAGCATTGCGGGCGCTGTTGTTGATCTCCTCGGAGAGCATTCGCACCATCTTCGTCATCTGGCCGTGCATCTCCTCTAGCTTAGGAGAGAGGATAAGAAGAAAGATATGTTCAAAGTAAAATCAAAACTTTTCTCTCATAATTTCCAAGTTACTTTTTGCATGATATCGTCATTGTCATTCGCCTTCACGACTGGAGCAGGCGACTTTGGTCTGTCTTCAGCCGTGACCCATGGGCTGGCGTAGGGAGCGTGGCCAAAGTTGTTTGCTGCTGGAGTTGCTGCTGCCGGCGCTGGTGCTGGAGGAGTGTTTGGATACCCATAGGCATGGTAGTAGTTGGGGTCCATCTGCGGAAGTGGATACTGCCCCTGAACTGTTGCAGCATTTCCCATTTGCTGTTGCTGATGGGCGTACGACTCGTAGTTGTACTGCAGCGAACTGTACGGCACTGTCGTCCAGTAAACGGGTTGAACTGGCTGAGCTGCTGCTGGACCACCAGTGCTTGTCGCCTGGTACTTCTGCTCAAAGTGGTAGTACTCTTGCTGCTGTCCACCGCCCACATTCAAGTTTCCAGTTGCATTGCCAGTGGCCTGCCCGCCGAGGTTTTGCACCTGATCAAGCGGCACTCGGTAACAGTCGAACTTGTCGGTAATGGCTCGAGGCTGGTGCTGCTGCTGTTTGCCACCACCGCCTGCTGATGTTGCCGTCGCCTTTGGAGAAGTGTACTTTGTGTCCCTTCGACCTTGATCTTTTTTATTGCTATTGGGCATGGCTGATGAGCAATTTGCGATGTGTGGTGTTTTGTTTGAGAAATGCAATTTTATCTGTAGATTTATGGAACTTTTTAACAAATACGCCGTTTGCTTTTAGAAAAAGTGCACAGTCAGATGTAAATTCTCAGTTGTAATAAAATTTCACATTTTTTCAAAATGATGGGTTTCATTAGAATAATATATCAAGTATAATTTATCTGAAATAAACCACTTTGTTCCCACTAACAGTTGCAATGAATGAGTAATTTTCTAGGTTCACATGTAATGATGACTGCACTATCAAAAGATGCAAATCACCAAAAAGTCCACAAACAGGTGGAATCAAGCCAAAAGTAGAAAGGGTATGTGAAATGATAATCACTTTTGCAGCAAAAGTTTTTGTGATAAAAAGATCTCTTGTTCATCAGTTTCTTTTCAGTTTGAGCTACTGTATTCACAATTTGAGCAGTTTTCTCAATCGCAACAAAGCTGATCATTACGAAAATTTCAACTTGTGCAATTTAATGATAGTGTTGATTCACGAGAAATCAATCTAGTAGTTTTATGTTATCACACTTTCACATGCATATAACATGTCATCAACTCTTTGATGGGTCAAATCATTAGTTGCACTTGCTTCGAGATAACCGTTAGCTGTTTTTCCGTGTAAGTCAAAATAGATATTTTATAAAAAAATTTTTTATTAAAAACATTACTAGTTTTTACTGATTACAAATCCGAATAGCTAGAACCAAAAAACCGCTCAAACTCAAAAGGCGGCTTTTCATCACTTTCGGCATAGTCGTCACTTTCTTCGTCATCCTCTTCATCCTCCTCATCATCTTCCTCATCGTCTTCTTCACTTTCCTCGTCTTCCTCACTGCTTTCATTTTCTTCATCCTCTACAACTTTACTTTCTTTCATCTTCTCTTCGTTCTCTTCTTCTAATTCATTCAGTATAATATCATAGTTCAATTGAGTATTGACTATTCCCACTTGATAGCACTCTTCACTGTCAATCCTCACAACTTGTGCTCTTGCTCGATCTTGTGCAATGTTGAACAAGTCGTACAAATTTAAACAGGGAGAAGAACTTTTAGCGCTGCAGTGCTCTTTCAAGACGTCAGTCAACTTTAAGGTGTATAGTCCACCGTCCTTGCTGTACGAATAGTATTCTGTTGAAAAAAAACAAAAAAGCATTTTGAACCTTTTACCAGCTTTAACGAAAATTTAACTTACTTCTTAAACAAGAAAACACAGTGAGAAGCTGAAATGGTTCTGGATTCCACCATTCATCTTGTCGCTTTAAAGATTCATCTATATCATCGGTTGGCCAAGGTGGTGTCGGATTTTTGTTTTTTACAATGTTCTTCCCGCCCTCTTCTCTAACACGGCAAGTCTGCAAAAAATTGATTGGTTTTTGCATTTATCAAACAAACTATTGGCCGTACTTACATCGACAATGATCACCTTTGGAGAGTCACTCAAGGCACGGTACAGATTCAGCTGATCAATGAGGCGTCTAACTGTAAAGAGGCCATCTTCGCAAAAGAAAGCTGCCAAAAAAGTAAGTTTTTGCATTGGTTACAAAACAGTAGAATATATAAGTTTTTACCTCCATCAACTCCGTGGCTAGAGATGTAGATCACCAGACAAACTTTATCCTCATATTTAAACTGTTTTAGTTCTGTTTTGAAATGAAAATATTTGTTTTTAGTTGTTTTTAAGTGAAAAACACCTACCTTTCCTTAAAAATCTTGCAGTGTCAGCTTCGGTTTTGCAGCCTTCTGGCAATTTGGAAACGGTAAATTTTGCCCTTCGAAGCGTGCGTTCAAATTCCTCTACTCCCTTTTTATTTTGTTCCAAAGACCCCATACGAAAGTTTTCTTTTATATACTTGATTTTCTCTTTAGTGAGGTCGTCACGATACGGAAGCTTTCTAATGATGTTTCGATTAAAGTGCTCAAAGTTGTAGTAGGCTAGGCTGATGCAGTAGAAATGTTTGATATCGTACTCTTCACAACTGTCTCCACGAACGTATTTAGTTTTCTTGTTTTCCAAACTTTCACTGCGATCAATAAATGGAAGCAAACTCGAAGGGTGTTTCAATCGCTCTAAAATCTGCCAATCATTGAGTTTTGAAAAGCCGATTTGAAAAAAGTCAGTTGCTAGTGCCACAACACAAATTAGAAGAAAAAGAAAAAATCCAGCAATGTAGACTAGTGGTCCGCCTGGCCACTGTGATAGTGTACTTGAGCCAAAAATGCAAAAATAAACTGCTGCTGCTAGAAACGCAATAGCAAGTGATAAAAACTTGAAAAAATGCTTTTTAATCTGACTTTCAGTTTGGGCATCATTTTCTACTGCTTCAGGAGGAGGGGTAATGAAGGGCGCCAAGCAGTTGGCCGGCACTACTGCCAACTGGTGCGACAGGTGATTAAACACCAGCGGCGACTCTAGGAGCCAGCTCTTGCTTTCCGGCTCGTACCGCTCTGTCCAATCGGTTTGCAGGTATTCTGTGTGTTTAGGAATAAAAAGATAACCAAAAAATGCATGTTGAATTGATGATTCACCTCACCTCTCTCTCCACCGACGAGGTACAGCTGCCCTCTGAAATTCACCGCCTGATGACTACTGTGCTCCTTGTTTAGCTTTGCCGGTTCCTCTCTCCAGGTGTCTGTTTGTGGGTCGTATGACTCGCAGGAGGACAACTGCGTTAGCCAGCTCCTACCGGTGGTTTGGCCTGCAATCGCCCAAAGTCGTCCCTCAAAGGGCACTAGAGCAAAGCGGATGCGCGCCGTGGTCATGGGCGCCACCAGTTGCCAGCGGTTTGTTTGCGGATCGTACACCTCCACTGTAGTAAGATATTTGTCGCCAGGTTCAGAGGTTGCAACAGGACAACAGCCGCCGGCAATGTAAATTTGTCCACCTAGAACGGCGGCCGCCGCCTTTGACCGGGCGACGTTCATCGGTGCAATGGCCGTCCAGCAGTCGGTCGCAATGTCGTAGCGTTCACAATCGGCAATGATGCAATCCTCCTGCGTTTCTCCGCCTAGGGCGTAGAGGAAGGCGCCGTCGAGTTGAACACTGGAAAAGTGGTGCCTCGCCGTGAGCATCGGACACTTGGGCGTCCACACTGGAGGGGAGTTGTCCAGTGGCTGGGCGAGGTCAATCGTCCAGGTGGCGGCCACTGAGACTCGCTGGGCGTAACCACCAAAGAGGAACAGTCGTTGACCGTCGTCCACCGCCTGCAAGGCAAAAATTCCCGCATCACCGGGCGGCATGGGAAAGAACGGCGACGGCCGCCATAGTTTCAGCTGGTAATCGTAGTACTCCACCATTGTTTGCAGTTGTCGGTAGTTGTAGTTCAGACAGACAAGAAACTGTTTTGTCTCTCGAGGACAAAAGGGAGTAAGTGAGCGTGAGTAGGGCGGCGGCTTGAAGCAGTGCTGGTGCTCATCGGTGGTCTTTGAACTTTCACTAACTTTCTTTTTTGGCTGTTTCTTTTTGAGAATTTTGTTCATAAAGTCAATCAGATGATTTCGTTTGCTTTCGGGAAATGCAGCAAAGAGGTCACTGCTGAAGATGAACTTCTCAATGAAGCCTTCTGGCAACCGGCCAAATCGTAGGCACTTTTTGACTAGCATTGGAAGATGCGTCTCAAGTCGTTCCTCCATGTCTGCTTTCACCCACTTTTTAATTACTTCCCAAACGGGACGCTCATCTGTGATGTTCAGCTTATCAGACACGAGAAGTTGGAAAAGAAGTTCAACACTCAAAGAGGTAAAGTCTTTGGAACTATCTTTTAAAACCTGAAAAATGAAAAAAAGTTTTAAAATACAATAAACACACAGTTGTTGTCACCTTTTCAAAGTGCTCTTCAATGAACTGTTGAGCTTCATTGAGTGTATCAGCACCCTTATGCCCAAGTGATGCGGCTCGCTGAAACACTTTAACGGCATTACTGGTGTTGATGTCTTGTTTGGCGTTTTTAAAACGACAAAAAGTAGTCCCCATACTTTTGTGCTTGTTTTTTCTCTTTTTGCTTTTACAAACAAAAATGAAAGAAAACAGAGCACTGTACAGAATACTGACACAAACAAAAAGCAGTGTAAACACTTTTTCTTAAAAAGTGATTGCCTGTTATGCCACTCAATGAATAGGCAGACATCTGTTGTACAGCATTCTTACTGTTTATTAGAGTGATGATTTCTAAATGTTGATTAAAAAATCAGTGCATTTTTGACAATTTTATGAGTAATAACAACATTTTTGTTTGGAAAAGATGTTTATTTGTACTTTTATGAAAGTATTCAAACATATAAAATTACATTAAACAATAAGTGGAAACGAAATTGTACATATTGTTTTAAAAAACAGGCTCTAAATGAGATGATACAATTTGGAAAAATAAGTGCAACAGGTATTTCTTATTTTGAGTCCCAATGTTAGATAGATGATAAGTTGTAAAGCTTTCTGCCACATAAAGGTTGAATAAAGTGTAACTAGTTTCTACTTGTTAGAAATCGTTGCCTGAGACCTGAATCATTAGAGAATGTAGACGAAGATGGACTTGGCGGTGGAGGAGGTTGTGGCTGGTGAGTTTGCGGAGAAGGTTGTTTACGAGATTGTATTTTATTCCATACAATTTTAATTACACCTCCTATAACTGCAATCACAAAAATGCCACCAACAACATAAATACCAACATCAATCCCTATAAAATAAAAAATTTTCAGTATGAATAACAAATTAGTTTCTAAAACTTACATGTTGTTGACAACGTTGTTGAATGTTCAGGTGTTGGTTTGACTTCAGCTTTAATGTCTTTGGTTTTAGTTTCATTTTTAGTTTCCTCGTTTTCCATTGTCATTTTTTCAATGGCATACATGTGCTCAATAACTTTGTGTAAAATCACCGTTTTTGTAGTTCCATTTTGGTAAACTAGCTCAAACTCGTCTTTACTTTCTTTTAAAAAGCAGTTTTCTCCGGCATAGATGCTTAATGCAATCAGCTCTTTTGTGCGGTTGCTCAGGATCTAAAATTAAAGGCAATTTGTTAAAAAAACACATAACTATTATAAACAAATCTTTCATACCAAACTGTTTGCATTGTGAGTATTCATGACATCTGTACCATTGGAGTGATCCACTCCAATGCCGTGCAACAACTCGTGAAAGGTAGTACTGAGAACTTGCTTGTACTCCTCACTGTTTCTTTTAAACGGACATCCGTAGAAGCTGACAGCAACTGAATTGTTGTGTGGGTTACACGCGGCACCACACTTGAAACCTCGGTATCCGTCAGAGAGTTGCTTTCCGGTAAAGAAAACGAGCAGTGCTGGTCTCGAGCGCTCTTTTTCCAAAGCACTCGATTTGAGCGTAGCGTTGAGCTGCTTAGTGTTGATCACTTGCTGATGATCAAACTGATGAAACGCCGGATGACCAAGGTGAACAGATTCCAAATCAAAGCCAAAGTTTTTGTAAACTTTTTCACCGTCGTTGTAGACAAACTCCTCTCCGAGAAGAATCTGATTGATGGCATCAATGTGAATGACGGTTTGATTGAGAACGGCCTCTTGGTTTCCACTGAAGCAAAGTTTGACAAAAGAGTTATCAGTCACAATGGAGATACCTGACGCACAACGTAAAAAGTTGATTAGTAAAAAGTAATTTACTTTAGAATCAAATATCAGATTAGTTTTTAAAAGCAATCCTTACGAACACGTTCTTCATACGAAGACGTGTTTGAGGCGCAGAGAACAAAGGTGAACAAAAGACAAACTAGAACCACCACCTGTTTCCATTTGCCAATTAGAGGTGACATTTTTGGGCCATCAAATTAGCTCAAAACACACCTTTTCTGCGCAATCATCGTCGCCGGCTTCTTTTTTTCCAGTCTCAGAGCGTCCATATCAAACGTGATGAAAAGAAAAGTATTGCGCAAAACATCTCGAAACTTGCAGTTTTAGTTATCCATTTAATTTTTACAGGTGTGGCGCACAAGTAGAAACAAAGCAAAAAACAAGCTCACAATTTGTAGTTTGTTTTGAAACGTAATATGCAGCTAAGCTACTCAGATCGGCTGCTCACGTAAATTAATACTATACACACAAAGTGCTAAGAGCTTTTCTCCAAAAATAGCTTTGCTCATCTTATGATGCTTCTGCCATCGCTTTCTCAGACGGTGTGGCTTGTACGCTAGCAGCAGTTTGACAAGGCTGTACGTTATGGGTAAAAACAGAAAAAGGCGCTTTTTACTAACGTAAATGTAAAAACGTTTATTTAAAATGCTATTGTAGTGGCTAGGGCCCCAGCCCCTACAAACTGCTCTCTGCCTCTGTCATTCCATCTGGTTGCTTCCTACTTCATTCCTTTCCAGTTACTTCCCACTTCATTCCTTTCCAGTTACTTCCTACTTCATCCCTTTCCAGTTACTTCCTACTCCATTCCTTTTCAGTTACTTTCTACTTCATCCCTTTCCAGTTGCTTCCTACATCATTCCTTTTTACATGCAGTCACCGACCTAACATGTGCACCCAGCACATCGCTTGCATTCTAGGTCGGCCAACAGATGCGAAGACACTACTACCATCGCACACCGATGACCAGTCACACATACCTTTGTTCCTGCTCATCGCGTCCTGCTCCACTGACGGAGTCGCATACCACCGAGGATCACTCGAGTATATAAGCGCTCCCGAAAGTTAGTGTCTGCACTGCACCCACACCAGTAGTGTTCACACCCAACTCTGTACTTCGCAACCGCTCTCTTTCTCTTTTCTCAATAAAGGCAAATTTGCCAACAAAAGCCAAGAGACCCAGTGTTAGTGCCTCGGCCATCACCGAGCCACTACACTATTGTTATTTATGCTGTTTGATGTAAGTTACATTACAAAATTATAAAATGTAGCAGCTAGTTAAAAAATAATGTTTAACGACAATTTTGCTTAAAGTTATAAAAAACGCAAAGTTTAAATCAGTCTCCCTTAGTTTTCTTAACTTTAGGTTTTTTAGGTTTGGTAGTAGGTTTCTTCGGACCCTGAGTTCCCCAGCCATCAACTGCCAATGATGATAGCGGACTACGACCTCTGGATGAAAACACGAGCTTGTAGAATTTGGGGGCACCGAAACCCAAACACAAAACAATAACCAAACCAATGAGAAAATAGCCAAAATAGTTTAAAACGGTTAGAGCAACTGCAAAAACAAAAAAATGTTATAGAATTAAAATACTTTAACTATTAACTAATAAACTCACAAAAGGCAACTTCCGGTTTATCAGTTGTCTCGGCTCCATCTCCCTTCTCCAACTCTTTCTTTGCAATAGCATTCATGTGTTCAACCACCTCATGGTACTTCACCGGCTTTTTCTTCTCATTGCCAAAAACAAGTCCAACATTTTCTCCTTCAATTGAAAGACAACTTTTAACATGTGCTTTGTAAAAGCTCTTAGCAATGTGCTTTCTTGTTTCCAAACTTAGGTTCTGTCAAAAACAAAATAGCAGTAAAAAATAAGCAAATTATTTAGAGTTTATCATTCTTTACCATATTATTTGCGTCATACTCCATCATCACATCGTTGTTTGTATTGTTGTGAGGCACTCCGATGATGTGCAGCAGCTCGTGGAAGAGTGTAACGAGGACTCGCCTGTGTGCTTCACTGCCAACTTTAAGTGGACATTTGTAAAAACTGACCGCCAGTGTATTGTACGGTGGTGAACAGACTGAACCGCACTTAAAACCCTGGTATCGGTCAGTCATTTGCTTTCCAGTAAAGAAGGCCACCAGACCGCACTCTTTGCGCTCATACTCAAAATGACTTGAAGTGAGCGTAGCCTTGAGCTGATCAACATTGAGAGATTGTTGCTGGTTAAACGAAGCAAACGCTTTGTGTTCAAGGTTGATGATCTCAGGGTAGAAACCAAAGTTGGTGTAGTGGTAAGTTTCTCCATCGGAATCAGTGTAGACAAATTCTTCATCGAGAAGGTGTTGATTAATGTCGTCAATGTTTTTGATGCTGTGATTGGCGGCCGCTTCTCTGTTCCCATTAAAGCAGTGCTTTACAAAAGCCTCGTCAGTCACAA